GAACCGCCACACATGGCAGCCCCACTCCAACCCCTCCACTAGTGGAATGATAGCATGCGGGGGCTCTGTGTGCGCCACAAGCTTGGCTTTCAGCACTGAGACAGCAGCCAGGACTGTCTGGGAATGTGAAACAAGTGAGCCAGGACAACCCTCCATGGTTGTAGGCACTTACAGTCACACGGGCCTGGAGCTCTGGGGATGGGACGATGGGAATCTCCCCTCCAGCCTTGCCAAACCACTGCTCCAGGCTGTGCTGCACTGACGGCAGGAGGCAGTAGCTGGATTCCTGCTCGTGCTTGAAGCTAAGGTAGCCGTAGCTAACACGGTTCAGGTTCTCCAGCCACCTGAAGAAGGGTACAGTCACACCACCTGCATTCACATATATGTTCTGCCAAGGGCAGTACATGCTTCAGATTTGCTGCTTAGGGTGACCCCAAGACCCATGACCCATCTGGGGATCTCTCATCCTCTGTCTTGAGTCCTTCCCTTGGTCTCTGTCCTCAGAGACAGTCCTGAGGTTACAGGGATGGCCAAATCCTAGAGCCACGGTGGCTCTGCACTGCCTCTGAGCAGAGACACCAGCTGCTCTGACACCCCGTGTGATGTGGCACTGTTTGCTCTTGGCCCACCAGCGGCTGCAAGACATCCCAGTGCTGGCCCAGGAGCCCTGTGGTCTATCGCTCCTGCAGCCAAGAACCAGGAGGGTTCAGAAAGGAAACCAGAATCTGAGATGTGCTTAGGAGCTGGGGCAAGGCAGGAAATGGGCTGACTGAGACAGCACCATCGATGCTGCCTGATCCCAGAGCCTGGCAGAGCCTAGCTGGATCCACACTGGTGCAGCTGACGACACTGTGTGGCACTAGTAGCCATGAGCCCACCATTCTCCTGGGTGCATGGGGACGGACATAGCAGGGTGACCAGGATGTTTCTTTGCAGGAATATTTTATGTGCTGCTGGTGTAGTGGGGCCATTGGCAGCTTCTGTGATGATGAGCACCAGCACAAGAGCAGAGGTGAGACAGGTGGAAGAAATGAAAGAAGAAAAGAAGAAACCAGTGACAGGCTGTTTTCCCTGCTGCTGGGTTCCCTCACACAAGGCCACTTTTGGCAGCAGGCGTCTGGGCGCTCGTCTCCTCACTGGAGCTGTTCAGGATGAGCAAAAGCTCGGAGTTGATGTTTCACGCAGAATGATTAAAGGCTCAGGCTGCAACAGACCTTGGCTGTGACAGAGTCACAGCATGCCCTGTGCCTTTGGTCCCTAGAGCTCACAGAAGGGAGGAAGCTGTTATTCGTGGCAGTCCCCTGCTTTGCTCACTCTCATCTGCTGCCTATGACTTTCAGTGTCAACACTACAACATCCATACCTTCAAGAGTATCATCTCTTCTGTCCTGCAGGGAGGATCTGGTACAGCACTGAAGACTGAGGGTGCCAGAAGAGCCAGCCAAAGTCACTCCAATGATCCTTGCTCCCTGACAGCAAAGGGAAAGGCTTGGACTTTCCTCCTCCCCTAAATTATGTGACCTGAAACCTCTGCCTCGTGCTCTGTCCTTCTGGCATAGCGGGCGAGTTGTCAGTGCAGTGATGTGACACCTCCCTGGGGTACTGAGTGCCAAAAGCGAAGGTTCAGCTGGGCTGCTGTCACTCGCACACCGCTGCAGGGCCTGTTGGGAGCGTGTGGCACGAGTAGGTCTGTACCTCTGCCTGCACCTGGGGTGCATTCTCCCTCGTGAGCTGCTTCTCAATAGCGTCAGGGATGAGGATGTCGCAGGGCAGCTCCAGGATGCCACCCTCAAAGGGCTCTGCTTTTGGGAAGCCAGCTATGGTGCCATGGCCCTGGAATGAGCGGGAGAGTCCTGCTGGGCCCAGCCTGGCAGTGTTGAGCACTGCCCTCAGAGGGGGGCTCTGCAGGAGGTGAGGGCCAGCCCCCTTCTCCGTGAGCATTTCAGAGACAGGCACTGACCACCAGCCCCTAAGAACAGGCGCTGGGTTGACTGGGCTCAACTTACCTGCTCACAGTCTTCTAGCTCCTTGGGGTCAGTCCCTCTGGGATTGTAAATGGCTCTGTCTGTCTCCCCAACACAGATGCAGCAGGATCCGCACTCATGCAGGTTCTTCATGGTGTGCAGCCCCACTTTGCCAAAGCCCTACAGGAACACAGCAGAGATGGCCTGGGGAGGGGGAAGTTGTGGGGACAAACACTGAAAACTGATCCACTCAGGAGCTTGAGCTGAGAAGCACGAATAGGAACCCCTGATCTAGCAGTTCTTGGTGAATATTTTGGCTGGATGGAAACTAGGGCCTGGTAGGACTGAGATCTCCTTGGCTAGTTATGAAGGGGTGTTATGAAAAGCAGAGCCTGTGGGATAAGGGCTTCCAGCTCAGCCTGTCTTTGTCACCTCCAGAGCTCCTGGACGTGATGTTCCAAGCACAGCATGCCGTTCAGCTTCTAAGAGCCGATCTCAGTAGAAAACAGATCCAGAGAGAAATACAGTCCCTTGGTGGGCACCACGCAGCATCTAGGCACAAACTGAGCAATCCTCCTGCACCTCACACTGAGGGGGTGCGATCGGCTGCCACAGCACTGGCACAGGGCAGGGCCGTGGGGGTAGCTCGCCTCTTCTTACAGGAACAGATGATTTTGCAAGTGGTTGCCAGCTTGGTACAGCTCCTAAAAGCAGCACTAGCTCCTGAGACTGCAAGAACGGCCCCCAAACACAGCAAAATTATACACAGCCAAGGACTTCAGCCTTCTCTAAAATTTCGCCCTCCTCTCCCCCTGCCACATCAGCGAAGCAGAAGGATGTGCGGAAGGGAGAGGGATGAGCAAAGGCTGGGCCGTTCCCGAGGGCACTGCGGGCAGCAGCTCCGGGTGCAGCCTGGCTTCAAAGCCTCTTCCAGGGAGCTGCGTCGGGGAGCGAGCGAGCGGCTGGAGGAGAGCACGGAGCGCCGGCCACAGGCAAGGCTTCAGCTGGGTGGCTTCCAGTTCAGTTCTCCTTTGCAGAGAGCAGCGGAATGGGCAGGGAATGGGCAGCTGCGGGCAGAGCGGGCAGCAGGTCCGGGCAGCAGCGCCTGGCGGAGAGCAGGAGCTGCTGGAGCTACAGCAGGGGGAAGCACCTCACCGCAGTTGAGGGAAGACGAAGGTCCTTCCTGGGAGGAGAGGGGAAAAGGCAAGGCTGGCACCCTCAGGGTCCCACCGAGCTCACGGGCGGCTGGGCAAGGCAAGGTCAGCGAGGGCCAGACCCACAGAAGGGTTGTGGGCTGCACCCACAAGCAGGACCTTCACCGTAGGTAACATCACAGCTCGCTGCAGGAGGTTTGGAGTGACAGAAGTGTGATGTTGTCACTGGGGTCGGCTCTTTCCACCCAGTCTGGCAGAGCCCCCTGTGTCCTGCCGCCTCTCCGCTTTGCCTGCTGCACAGGTGAGGGTCAGTCGCAGCTTCCATTTTATGAGTGTTTTCAGGTGGGATGGCTACAGAGAAACCTTGGGAATCCCTCTGCGGTGTGAACAGTGCAGCACCCGTGGACTGCTGGTTCGAGTTTCTAAGATATTAGCTCTTAGAAACAGACCCGCACACAGCAGGTCTGAAGCACTGCTCAAACGAGCACCAGCTGCCACAGGGTGAGGAGAGATTTGGGAAACCATGTCCAGGCAGCATTGCAGGAGCTGAGACTGAAAGCTCTCCTGCAAAGGAGGGGCAGAAAGGTCCTGAGGAAGTGTCCTCTTCAAAGCTCTACCGGGGCTGAGTGCTCACCTGCAGCACAAAGGTCTTGCCCGGGAAGCCGGGGCTCAGGCTGATGCAGTCCATGTAGTCGGTGTTGGTGATGTAGTTCCCAACGCCACGCAGGACCCCCCACCCGGTGGCAGAGCGTCACCCGTGGATGCCTCCCAGGCTGATGGGCTTTCCTGTCACACACACCTGGGCATTGACGTCCTGTGAGGCTGGGATGGGGAGAGCAAAGGTTACGGCCTCACCTGGTGCAGGTCCTCTAGAGAAGAATTTCCCCAAGCCTCAGCTTCCCTCACCCTCCCCTAAGCCTCAGCTAAACCTAAAGCAACTCACTGGCACAGGCCTCTCGGCACAAACCCTTGCAGTGCCCACGGCACCCTGGGCTCCAAACCAGCACTGGTGGAGCTTACCCGGTACCCCAGCGTGTGGGTGTAGGTGTCAGCTATCCAGGACATCTCCAGCTCCCTGGTGCTGACATCAGGGGCCAGCGTGTCAATCCCAGGCCCTGTGGAGGTAGAAAAATCTGTCAAATCATGTCTTTGCAATTCAATTGCTTTGCTCCAACCAAGGGCATGTGCACAGCCAGGGGATTTTCGCAGGTGGGTCATGTCTTTGGGCACACCAAGCAGTCCCCTGACCAAAGCGTGGCGCTGCCCATGCCCCAGGGTCTCCCCAGCTTCCCTCAGGCATGAACGTCTTCGATTTTCACAGGGTCTTTGCCGTGTCCCCTCCCAATACTTTCAAGTAAAGAGGAAATTTAAAGGTTTTGTCACAGCCTTGTGACCAGCACCCATTGAGCTCTCTATCACATGCTGTGGCGGGAGAAACCTTCACTCCTCCCTGTGACTGCGCAGGCCAGCGGGATGGAAGGTAACGCCCAGGTGAGACCCCTGCCCAGCAGTAGCTGGGAGGCAGCCTGGGACAGCCCCACCGTGCTGGGCACTGCACGAGGCTCCTCCTGCTCCAAATCCACAGCGGAGGCAGAGCAAAGCGGTGAACAGACAGCAGAGCACCAGGGCAGTGAGCGCTGCCGAAAGGCAGTGAGTGAGTGGCAGGC